GGCAGAAGAGCACAAGTAAATGCTGCCAGCAGCAGCACTGGTTAAAGTTCTAAACTATCCTTGTGAGCTGCCTGAGTTTTTAAATAACCTTATTTCTTTTCAGTACCTTAATATAAAGTGTAATATAAAGTTTTGCTTTGTTTTTAAAAATCCTCTCTTCTGTTGACACTGGGGGGCTGTTTGATGTCAACGACTTATGTTATCTATTAAACATGGATCAACCTGCATCCACCACCTCTGAACAGCTGGTGCAAAAGATCCACCATTTCCCACTCACAATTCAGCCAGAGTAGTGCCAACACATGGCAGTCTCCTGCTTGCTGAATTTTGGTAAAGGGCACGATTTAAGAGTTGACATGAATATGTTCTATCTTTCCCCATGTCCCTTCCTTTCACAAGGAGCTGTTCTGTGCAAGTTCAGCACTACCGTCTTCATGTAGGATTAGCCATGATGTTCCCAGTCATCACGAAGGACTAAGCAAGAAGTAACTTCCCCACTCACCTACACATACTTCATTAAAACCATGTATTTTTTCTCAGATATAGGACAGAGATAATGAGCTCTCTCTTACCCTATTAGATTCAGTGTTGTTATTGTTCCATTATATATATATACACACATACATGTTCCATTTTTCAATGATCACCTCTCCTGTCTGTACAGCCTCCACACCCTCTTCTCTGTAACTTTTAAGATTTCTGAGGTTCTTTATCACATTTGCTGCCCTCTAAGGGAACAAAATTCCACCATAATGGTCACATTACCGTGGTCATAATTTCTTAGCGTGTGATGTGGCATTCTCAGTCCACATCAGAGCTTCATTCTGTAAGTATCCTTTTACTTGGGATACTCTACATTATATTTTGTTGACTTTATTGTAAAAGTTCAGTATTTATAAAATAGTAAGACCAGGCAGTATTTTGAAGAATGCACACCTTTCAGGTAATGAGCAGTAAAACATCCTCACCGTGACTCATTTTGAAAAGATAAATCATTTCAATTCTCTCACTTAATTTAAAATTCATTTCCAGAGAGTAAAGGCTGCCTGATATTTCAAAAGTTATGGGCAAGATAATCCTGCCTCCTGCTTCCCCCAGTTAAAATGACATTTTTCAAAGAGCAAAAGTAAAAGTGATAAATTTCTATGCCAGCTTAAAAGTAAGAAAAGTACTAGATTTAACTCAGTATGTTGAAAATACGCCTAGGTGTACCTATGAGACATTCTTCAAGTCTGAATGAAATCTGCCCAATATTACAGAGGCTGCACTGTAAATGGATGAGCCAAATGTTAACATATGTAAATTCAGGAAATAAGGAAAGTTATAAATGGACTTGGTTATGCAGACTCAGTGTTACAGTACAGCTCCAGAATTAGCTCTTTTAAAACATTCTTTTAAATTTTTGAAACATTAATTCCTGAAGGACAAACTTTTCTCTTCATTTCCTTCATCATTTCTGCAAGCTCTGTAAGAGTTGGCTTTTTTTAGTACAGGAAAAGACCAAGGCTTTTTTCCCCCCCATGATTTTTACATCTCTAACATCAGCACAATACTTGAATTGAGAAATGTAGAATATAAAATGCTTCAAGAGTTTCACTGACAGGGTGTACAATATGCTACTACTGGGAGAAAGCAAACAGGAATGTTTTTCTCAGTGCAGCTGGGGCAAATATGAAGGGACTTGCTGGAATCAAAATTAAAATTATGTCAACTGAAAAACACCAGTAAGTTGAATATTGCAAGTTCCTGTCATAACTGATCAGAACAGTTTAAAGTAAAAATGCATGCACAGCAGTCAGCAGATGAGAACAATGAAAGCATTGTTAAGTCCACATGATGATAGATTTAAAAACTGAAACACTCACAAGCAACTTACACAACCCAGGCACTCAGTAAATGTCACAGCAAAAGTGTTTAATGTATTCCTGGGATGTTAAAAGGGGAAAACATTTGCAATTGTAGGGGACTATCTTGACTGAAAGCAGAAATTGTAACATAATGCCTAGAATACCATCCCTGATCCCAGTGTCTGTCTCTTCCTGACATGCGATGAAACTGAAAAACATTTAATGCTAAGTCAGTGAGATTACTCAGTGGTTAAAAAAACTACATCAGCAGCTCAAGTTTTCAGCACACTGAATGGAGAGTTGAGAAAGAACTTGAAAATTAGTAGACATACTTACAGTGATTTTTTAAAATTTCGTAGTGGAAATAATTACATGAGAATGATTGTAGTAGGGGAAGGAGAAAATATCTTTAAGGAAAACAAGCCAGCTTTCCAGCACATGGATGATAAATCCTATCTCAGGAGGAAATGTGAGATCTATGTAAAAACAGAGGGGGCATCTGTGTATCCAAGTTGGTTGGTAGCAATTTTCCTTAATGACGTTAAACTCTGACTCTACGAGGCCTCCTTGTTTGTTCCGCGATGCACAACAAGGGGAGTAATAACATGAAAATGTTTACTACCCTCATTAAAATATAAACACTGGCAGTTTTGCATTAAAATACATATTTTAACATTCATGTGTCAAGGTTTTAGCCAGTTCTCTGCAAGGGTCTACTAGCATAGGATTAGGACCGCTCTGCTTTTTTAAGGAATTCCAATGCTTCTCACCATAATATTATGAGCAAATACCCTGATTTTGCTCCCATAAGGGTAAACAGACAGCTTAATTAGCACAGTAATAAGCTTAATATTCACATTCTGTAAGTAAAGCAGCTGTTACAAATAAATACCGATACTAAAGAACTTGGGGCTCTCCCTTTCAGTTACAGAACCAGTTTGGCACCAGAAGAGCTTTCCCTGCTCCTCAGAGCTCCACTGGCAGTGCCCTTAGCTCCGAGGAGGGACATTTGACATTCCAGCACACACTTCTGCAGAATTAGAATAAGACAGCAGGGGAAATCACATAAGGAAAATTTGGCCCAGAATAAAAGTAGAATGGTTTCCTGCTGCGACCACCCCAAAATTCCTGAACAACTGCCTGTGGGAAGCTTTTCTGGCATGCAGCCTGTTTGGGACAATTCTGGATATGGAAGAGTTGGCTATTGGACGTCTGGTCTCCTCAGCTTCAAAACCAGCGAGATGAAGTAATGACTGTGAGTCAAACCAAAAAGGACTTGCAGATCATTAGCGGCTTCTCCTAAGTCATCCAGCTACACTAGATGGCTTAAGAATGTATTGGAATTTTTTAAAAATTCCTAATTTATTAGTTTTATGTTTTAAGTGTAACAGAGTGGCAAGAGCTCAAGAGAGAGAATGCTGACGTAAGAAAGAACAAAAATGAATATGGTGCCAGCAAATTCAATTATATCAGCGAAGCCACTTCTGTGCTAAAACTCTGAATCTACAGTAAATCTGACATAGAGCAGGATGAAATTATGCTAAATTACTATATTAAAAAAAAAACAAACAAACCAAGAAAACACCACCATACAACAAACCAACATACAGACTAAAATTAAACTGTAATTGGATTTGTCATTTCAAAGTATTAGCATCAGATTTCCACATAATGCAGGGTGACATATTCTTGTGCTAATAAATAGAAAGTTAGAAAACTAAACAAAGCCTGTGTTTCTACTGTAAGGAAATACGTGCGCCAATGAAGCAACCTTTTCAGCACAGAAGTAATTTAATACCCAAACCACATGAAAAGTGATCTCTCTGGGAATAGAACAGCTGCTAAAATCCAAGTCAGTTTTTATTAAATCGTCAAGTCTGTTTATGTAAAACTGGGCTCTCTTTAAATGACCTCCGAGAGGAAATTATTTGCTAACAAAAAATTGATACCTGCATTTATCTATATAGGTGTACATTTTTATTCTTTTTATATATTGGTACGTTTTGGATTGGAGATAAAAAAAAAAGAAAAAAAAAGAAATAAGCTTATTCTAACAGTTTAACTCCTCAGGCTCCACCACCAAATTTTAGCTACTGCTGAGCTGTCAGCTATTCAAAAGGGTAGACCAAACTGCTGTTATTTTTAGAAATGTGCAAGTTTAATGCTTCAACTTTTGAGGAGAAATGCACATTAAGCATCCTTCAAAACTTGTCAAATGAACCCAGGTAGCCCAGAGGAATAAAAGGAATACTGTAGAATAAGATATTGTGCAAGTTCTCAAAAAAAGACAGTGGCCCAGGAGTTTTTGATGGCTGTTTGAAAGAAGGGCAAGTGCAGTGAAAAGAACAGAAAGAACTTCTTGCAGTCGGTCTCAAGGTGCAAAAAAGGGAACCAAATCCATGGCACTCCCAAGCAGTCCAAACCACAAGTCAAAACCTCTGAAACTTCCTATCAAGATAACCCACTCAAAACTTCTTGAACTTGCACTACATGGCCATAGAAAACTTGCGAGAGAAAACTTTTCCAGGCCACAGTACAGGAAGACAATTCAAGAGCTGCCCCACTGTTCTGGCAGGACACAGCACGGAGCCAAGGAACAGCTGCAAACTGTGAGCTGACTCAGGACTGTCAACACCAGCACCAAAATGAACAGTCTCTTCAATTAAGAAGCAATTTTTTTTTCTCAATTGTTCTTTATATGTCTGTTTCGTATCACAAAACAGAAATTTAATATCTTTACAAATACACAAAGTTGCTTAAGTTCCAGAAAGCTAAAAAGTTGTATTTATCAGACATCAGAAAGAATTTCTTAAACAATATCAATCTTATTCCTTCCCACAAAACTAAAAGATATTGACAGTATTTATGTGAAAAACCTTTCAGAAATGTTTCAGAATCCACTCTCTTCTTGGATTCTTCAGATGACTAGAACATTTACATGGAGATAGCATGCTAATAGGTGATGTCAAAGAAACTTGGAAAACAGCAAAAAAAGAAGGGTAGGAGGGCACAAGAACTTCAGCTGAAGCAAGCTGAAGCGATTCCAATTCCTAAGGAAGACAGACAAAAAGTCAAACATAAAGCAGTCCACAGTACTCCAAGACTGACCCAGAGCAAGACATATAAATAAAGCACAGACAAACTTAGACTTACCTTGGCTGAGCAGGCTGTGCACTTATCAAATGCCAGGCTGACTGGAAGAACATTATCAAATCTTGATAAAAATCCTCGGATCTAGAAGAGGAAAGAAAATTACAATACTGTTTTAAAACACTTCCAGAAATCAACATGAACTGAAGATATACAATCTCTAACTAGGGTAGATAACATTCTAACAGTCACCCTCAGTAACACCTGTAGTAAATTCATACTAACACATATTACTGTTTTTCTATATGCAAATAAAGGCACAACTATCTAAATGCAACACTATTTAGCCAGAAATAGAGGCATAGCACCACCTGCAGTTTGCCTTTTCTGAGTGCAAAAATTTGATCAAAAATAAAAAGTCATGGTATAACCAGTTAAACACACTTTTATCGCCCATTTCTAACATATAGTCTAAAAATCCAGCTGCTGTGCATTACTAAACTGTAATGTTAATATGATAGTACTGATAGGTGAATTTAAAATTCCAGACCAAACACTTTGCAGCATGTTGGAATATTCAGACTATGAACTCTTTGGAGTATTGATCGTCCTTTTTATTCTGTGCTTTTTATAGGCCTATTACAACGAAGAGATGTCATGAAGAACAGAACTTTAGTAACTCTGTAATACAAATAATAATGCCTTAATTTTGAAGTCTGTTATGGAAATCCATCCAACATACACTCCACACATTTAATGGAGCTGGAATGGCAGAGACCTGGGAAGCCAACAGCAATTTATACTATTAAATACTATAACTAGTATTAATACAGAGGTATTTTTGCAGAAACGCCAAGCCATACATGGTATCAGAACACAAAAATACAGCCATTTTTTACACAAAGAGAGATGAAAAGAAAACAACAGAATCGAGCCTTTCTGGTATCACTGTTCTGTACTTCCAATATCCAAGGAACTCCAAGTCACTTCCTGGAAATAAATCCAGTTCATTTATGACAGTCCAAGAGTCTATGAGTGTGCAATGCTTTTTATCCGTCAAGCAATACTATCTCAAAAAGAAGACTGCTGCATTAATTACTACCCCACTTTTTCCACAGTATTTGGCTCACCAAGTGAACAAAGACCAACATAAAACACCTCTCCAAAAACTAACAGTTAATTATAGACTCCTGGAGAAAATATTGCACTTCCCCAGTTGGTTAGATGGCTGACTGCTAAGAGAAACCAGCAGTTTGTAAAAGGATTAGATTTCACATTCTTTGAAAAAAATATTATCTGTTTTCACTTGATACCAACTGAAGCTGTATTTGTGTTAGCATGTCTAAAAGAGAAGACATTCATAACAGTCACTAAATGTAAATGTGAAAACAGGTATAGGATTGACAGAAGTCACAATTCTATGAATAGTTTTCCAGTTAAAATCTATATTTGACATGAATCATATCTGAAAGCATACCCCAAAACAGAGATAGAACGCAAGTAAAAGGGATATAAACCAAATCAGAAAGCACTGACTGGACAGTTGATATTCTGATCAGTCAGAAACACATGAACTGAGAAACCATTATTTTTCCACTAGAAACAGTATAATTTCTAAAGTTTACTAGGAAATATTCTAAAAAATATTAACTACATTATGTAATATTCCTTGTTTTTTGTTGGGGGAAAGTAAATTACTTCTTCACTATCCCTTTTTAGGTGCTAAGAGAAAGTTCAAATTGCAGATGTGTTTTTCGGAGGTCTGGAGCATATCCACTATTTGAGAACAAAATCACTGTATGAGACTCAAAGATTCAACTGTCAAAATTACTGAAATTATTTTCCCAAACAAACTGATCTACCAAGAGTAAAATGTCTTTCATACTACCATTCCATATGATCACAGGAGGCATTCTGATAATAATAGATAATTAATCCAGATAATTACAGACATTAGTTTGTCATCTAAGAAAGCAAAAACTTCTCCAGTGATAAATCAGTACCTGGATCAGCAAATGAACAAGACGTAGATTTGGATTCTGCTTCCTACTGAGATGTAAGAGGTCAAAATATCTCCCTCAGCAGCTTGTGTGGGCTGGACTTGACTGACAACAGCATTAGCATTGGAACTACAGATAACACCATAGGATATGGGAATAACTAAGTTATAATTAAGTAACACTGGGAAAGCAACAAACTTATCAATTAATGCCAAAGCTGGAAATTGTTGAGACCCTTCCAGATGAGATCAAAAGTGTCAGTAGGGACAAAAGCCTCATACTGAGGGGATCTGAACCAGTCAATCGAGAACTGGATATTCCTGACCAGTCCCAAGCTGAGTGTCCACAGTAAAAAGGGGAAAAACTTCAGGGGACTCCTGAGAAAGAACTGAAGAGACTCCAGACTTCCTGGAGAGAGAGAACCCAGGGAGAACCTAGGGCACCCCACTGCATAAAATGACCCAAGTGTGCACACTGGTCATTACATAAAATTATAAACAAAATCAGATGGATTTTATACAGCCCAGACCCTGAGATACTTGGATGCTGCAAAGACAACATCCACAAAAAACAACAGAACCTAAAAATACTGCTCAGAAACAAATAAATGGTTTGTTTATACAATGGAAGCATACAGTCATTCGGATAGCAACATAAGGAAAGAGGCACAGAATAATTCTAGTTCCCAATGACAATATCAAAGAGGATATGACTGTGGGAAAAATCAGGAGACAGTTTTTTGACTGTATAATATAAGAAATAAGAACAAGTCTATCCAGCAATTTGAAAAACTTTATCCTTAGCACATTTGTAACTAGCGTTTGGGTTGAGTAAAAGAAAAAAGTGCTGTATTGTACCAAAAATACATGAATATTTTGGAGAACTATAATAATTGTGAGTTGGCTGGATTTGAATTTTTTTCATATTCTGAAGAGATTTAAAAAGGGAACAAAAGTCACTTTGAAATGATTATATTGTCAGCTCTGATGGGGAACAGGACAGTCAGAGGTTGCCTTATTCACATATTGCCTGCTCCAAAGAAATTCTGGCTATGTAGATAGCAGGATCTGTGCATCCACAAGGAGGACAGACACAATGCCAGGAACACAACTACCTTGGCCTATATGATGGATTAATATTATTCATATATGTTTTTTTTAAACAAACATGGAGAGTCGGTCCTTTGAGGAATGGAATCAGCATATTGCATGTTTTTGTTAAGGAGACAAAATCTGTGACATTTGTCTTTTATCAGTTCCCAGGTCTTAAACAAAAGCATTTACTCACAAATTATTTACCTGATGAGGAACAAGTCCAAGAGAAGTAGGGGGCTCATTCATTCTATCATCACTACTGCTGGCCACAGCATAACCGCTGCCAAAAATTCAAGAAGGAAAATTAGGACAAGACAGCACACTCAGAGTCAAAATTTCCAGTCAGCTTCGAGGCATTTTGTTACAGCTCATGGTTTAGAATCTGGAAAGGAACCTATCTGGGAAGTCTGTTTCAGAGTAACTAAGATACACCATGGGGATATAAATCAGTCTGAGACTTGTAATGTGCTCATGGCCAACTCCTAAGTCACTTTTTCATTCGCAGATTTTAAAGACAGAAAAAAAGCCTCGATTTCAAGTTGCAGGATTTCAGAATAATTACTGTATTAAACCCACTTAATTTTAATTAAGGTTTGCAATATGTGGCTTATCTTGAAGCCCTTCATGTGACACAGATAGTTACAACAGCTGTTCATTACACTCAAACACTGTCCAACAAGGGAATGCCAAGATCCACTAACAGCAATATTTTCTTCTCAATACTTTTCTACTGTTAAAGTCAGAGAGAAAATAAAAAGAAAAACTCAAGATCTGATGAATCAGTTCTCTCAGACACTGTTAAATTACACTAATACAGTAGATGTGATCTATAGATTACATTAATCTACAGACAACACTACACCTTACAGAATTGTCCTACTTGGCGTGTACTTCCTTCTTCTCAAAAGATTTTATTGAATTTGTCTTATTTCTCAGATAATACCAGTGCAGAAATGACTCACCCTTCTGGATGCTGTAAAACAGAAACCATTAATTCCACTGCAAGGGCTCCAGCTACCATGGCTAATCCAGGGCGACTGACTGTGCACTGCTGGTCCAGTGTCCGATCCCTGGTGGACTACAAAGATAGACAATTCTAAAGGAAAGAAAAAAATTAACTCAAAAGTAACTATCTGTCCTGCTACACAAAACAACCTTAGTTCTGTGCAATTAATTTCTTTGATCTTCCAAGTAAAAGATGAGCCATTTCTTAATCCCATGTACATCAACATAAAACAAATCCCTTCATGAAACTTCATTTAAAGGAAATAAAAAATTCAAGTCACAACAGAAGAAATATATAATCACCAGTTGCATAAAGTTCTACTCACATCCCCTGGTGCCACAACATCATTGCAGAAGTAGCAGCCCAGTTTATAGCCAGGGATATTTGAAAAGAGTGATGATCCCAAAAGATCAGAAGGACCAGCAGCATTGCTGAAACACGAATCACCAGTCTCTTGCTGTTTTGGTTTCTTTAGGCCGTGTCTCATAACAACAAAAGTGTCAAATCCCAAGGCAGCATTGATGACCAACTGTGAACAATAAAGGGAGAACAAGAGATTTTAAGTGAGCCAAAAAGGGAGGGGAAAAAAAGGCCTCAAGGCTTTATTAACTGTAAATGTCAAAACCCCCTACATGCTGTAGATAGATGAACTACCCATTAACTGCGTATCTACCATCCTTGTAATAAACAATAAAGTTTCTGAAAGGTGCAGAATTCCAGTTATCAAGTGCTTCTAAGAAACAAAACCTAAATAAAAGTCTGTTTCAGAAAGGCATAAACCTTCGCCTTTTTCTGTGTCTTTCAGGGAAATCTGATACAAATTAATGACTCCAACTACCTGCTACGCAAACCTATGCACACTTGCTGACAAAGAAGTAACAGGAACTTCAAGCAGTGAAACACCATCTGTTATCCAAAAAAAAAACCCCAAAACTTCTGCTCAGTAAGGAAAGTAATTAATTATGCTTAGTCACGTGGGGAGCACAAGCAGCTATGGCACAGTTACACTGTCATCATTTTCCCTTTTCTCACTGGTTTTTGGCAAGTGTTAGGGTAATCTGGAGCTCTGTATGTTATAAGCATAACATCAATAAAATAATGACTGTAGCCAGTAAAATCTAAAGGAAAATTCTACACTGCTTCACATGCAGATACTTTTGATAGAAATTCTAGTGCAGCAGTTCGTAATTTTTCATTCTTATAGGCAGGAATTATTTAAAAGAGGGACTCTGAGGGAAGCTATGAAGAATTAGCCATCCTAACAGCAAGCTTGTTAGGATTATCAAATAATTTCTGGATAGTCTCTTTCGTAGTAGTTTATTCTCCCCTCACTTCTAAAGTAGAACCATGTTGTTGAATCTGTGGCAGCACAGCCAGGTCTACAGCAATTAAAAGACTGCTTCTTCTCGTTACATCTACCTGTAAAGCCTGAATATGGTATTCCACCTTTGAAATATCAGCAACATGGCACGGCTGGTATTACCAGAAATTAATAACATTGCCAAACACTTCCCACTGCAATAAGCTGTTTCTCTCTTTTCAGTTTACTGGCTCGCAATTATTTCAATCTAACTGATTGACCCTTAACAAAAAAACCCAGAATCATCTGGTTTGGATAAAGAGACAATGGAAAAGTGTCTCTTGGCATGCATTAAAAAAAAAAAAAAGGCGCAAAATTTTACAAGTTCCAGTGCTCAAGAGGAACAAAGGTTTAACATCTGACATGAGGATTTAACACTTGAGGGGTCTAAGATACTTGTTTTGGGGAGAGGACTGCAGGAATATCAAAGAATTACTATATGGGAAAACCAGCTCTTTCTTCTACCTATGTACCTGTTTTTATGCAGTTTACACACATTCTCACTCACTAGGTTCTTCATATTCCATGTGCCTTTTTTGAGACCTTGAGGACCAAACTGCAGTACTTCAGATCTGCAGTCATCATACAAAATTGCATTTGAAACAGAGCTCTCATTAGAAGCGTGTCAGCACGAAGTACTGAGCATTTCAGTTTAGACACCTTGAGATTTCACTGCTGTGCTTATTCAGTGACAGGGAATTCCATCTCCTCATATCAAAGTGATCTTATCAAATCAACTAACTGTGATGCAAACACACTATGCCACTGAATAACAGAGAAGTGTCACAAAAAAATTTTAAAATTTGTCATCAGAATATGATTTGAATGCTGCAAGGCAAACGTAGTGGGGCACTGTTAGCTAAGCAAATGTGGGGGGAGATTTTAGAGATCATTAAAACAACCCTGTTCTGACTGAACCAGACAGGCTGCATATAAAATATGCATATGCATATAAAATTGCATATATTTCTTACAATTACCAACCACCATACATATGGAAGAGTAGGCTGGCACTTTCCAGTTCAATACCCAGCTTTGCAAACTCACTCTTTATGCCATTTCTGAGCTTTTTTAAACAGCTAAAAGACTGCTGAAAGACCACAGGTGCAAACTGCAGAGAAGACAGGAGGATTAAGGAGGAATTGATTAAGTTATCAAGTTACACCCACTCACACCTGAAGTTATAGTTCAGTGAAGTCTGCACTAAAAAGACACACTGATCTTTCTACTGGCAAAGGGAAGTTCATTTGAGCTACAAAGACATACAAGACTATTGTTCAGGATCAGAAATCTATTTAAATTAAAGAAAGAATGAAAGAAAAGAAATGATACAATACCTTCCTCTTACTGGCTGCAATGACAGCAGGAAGCCATCGACTCTCTCTAGTGTCCATCAGTAGGAAAACAACATCATGAGTATCAATAAGCTCTTCAAGTTTAGCCACGTCCTTCTGAGCCTGTGCCATTGTTACCTCAGAAAAATTCACTGGGTGGCCTGGCATAGGGATGCTCATGTTATAGCCTTCTGAGCTCTAGATGGAGGCAGACAGTAAACAACAGGTTAAAAAGATAACCTTGTGACTGAATAGAATTAGTATAAAATTCAGTACAAAACTGTAGAGTACAAATTCAATTACTCTTTGGCAGAATGGCAACTTTCTTCTTGACATCTCTCTGTGTGACAGCACAGTGCTAAAGTTTCTGAGTCTCAGCTGCTGTATTTATCCAGAACAGAGCAGCTCAGTGCAAACAGACTAGTTTGGGTCACGAGTGCAGACCAACCCTGTTTATGTGTCTCAGAAGGTCTTTTTAGGCCTAGCAAATCACTACAAGAAGGTATTTGAATTGCTCTTAATCCCAAAAATTACAAACATCCTCACTACAAAGGCAAGCAATCCCATTTACATGTGACTAGATCCAGTTGTTAAACATCTACAAAATCTTTGGTTTGGATTCTCTTTGCAGTCACTTCATACATGATGTTCACAGGATGCAGTTCACATTTCTGATATGGAATACTGACTTAGTTACAGTAAGGCACGTGAAGTATCACACATTCTGCTCTTTGTTTTAAATTCCTTAGTCTCAAATGATTTTACTGTAATTCAACCAGCCATATGTGAAGCTGATATACAAGAAAAGCACTTCTGAGACTTGTTACTCTAGAGTTTGGCTGTCTGGAGACTCGTACTGTGCAGATGCTGAAAAGAGCATATTCCTCTTGCAGAAACATGTTCCTCTTCCAACCCCCTACTTGGGCAAGGCATACTAAGCAGAAAATACTGAGCCAAATAAGCACATACACAATGCATATACAATGCAAACAATTAACTCATTAATTTGGAAATACATTAACACAATCTGTCAGCCATCTGCTGTAAGAGAAGAATGGATCTTCATATACGTTAAAGCATAAGCTTTGCCAAAGCCTCCCTGCCTGTCACTGTGCCCTAAGCAACCAACAGTTTAAAAGACAAAATTTAAAAGCTGGATGAACCAAAGATAAAATTGCATGGGAAGAGAGAAGAGGAAGGTTGGTGGAATGTGCTTTTTGTATAGACCGACTACAAGCACAACTCATAAATCCAGGTGAGGCAAATAACCAGAAGGGTGAATGTACATTCTAAACGTCACAAATATCCCTGAGGATGATAAAAAGAACAAGGCACATATAGCAGCTTGGGGAAATTAATTCAGTAATATCTGTATTAACCACACCAAAGGATATACCTTTTTTTTTTCCCCTTTTTCCCCTCACTGCCACCTCCAAGGGCAGGAAAGCAGAGCCCACAGTGACCCAGCATGCTACCAACAGGGAGCTGTTTCCCAGTGAGAACAGCTCTATATCACCAGCACAACACTGGGTAATTACTGAAGGAGGTTCTACCTTCAGGGTCATTATACCCTCAAAAAGCTGTGGCAGGAACAGAAAACTTAATCCATGTTGTACATGAATAATGTATTTATAGATAACTCATTAAGTCATGCTGCACACAAGTGCTGATTTATTACATAAGCATAACTGACATTGCTGGTGACTTAGGAGGTTGATTTTTGTTCAATAAATTAACACAAACAAGTAAAAAAATGAGTTAAACACCACTTGCATAGAAATATGGTAACCAGGTTTGTAAAATACAAAAATCTTAGCAGAATTCAGAAAAAAAACATCCTGTGACTGTAGTTGTAGGAATACAGACAAGTCTAGTAGCTTCAATAGTTTCAACTGTTCCTTGAAAATGTCATGGTTTGAGAGCTCCAAAATCCAATTCCCTAGTCCAAGCCCCCTCCCACATCTCAACCCAGTGTGATATGGGTTTTCCAGACACCACACGAGACTCAAAATGGGGGGAAGGGAATATATATTACAATGACTGTACAAAATAAATACTACAATACATTATATACAATCTTAACTATCTCTAACCATGACAAAACAGTATTTACAATGGATCAAATCTCTTCTCCCCTCCAAATAAAAGTCCAAGAGGGAAGAAGGAAAAGATCCTTTCCACTCTCAGAGCAGCAGTGTCTCTAAGGCAGCAGGCATCTCTGTCTCTCTCTTCCATGCAGCAGCTGTAGCTGGATCTCTGCCAGTACACATGAGGGGGTATCCAAGCCCCTTGGCCCATCGTCTCCAAGTGAGGGTCTTCTCTTCCATAGGCTGTGTTCACCGGGACAAGGCTCACTTCACTACGTCATATCACAAAGCTCAGGGGTCTTCGTGACGGTCCTTATCTTCAGGGGATTCAAATTCCCTTTGCAGAGCTCTGTGCTCTGTCTCAAGCAGCGGGGGGGCTAAGGTCACCCCTTCCACATTCCTTCTCGGAGCTTTTCAGCTCCTTTCTGCAGTGCTGCTGCAGTTTTAGGACTTCCATTCTGTAGGAGTCCCTCCTCTCCACTTAGGAAAGGTCACAAAAGGAGTTTGGGGGTTTTTGATTCAGTTCTTACCCCAGAACTCTGTCTCTGCCTGTAGAGCTTAGTCTTGTTCTCTCTCTCTGCTGCTGGCTATCTTTCTCTTTTTCTCTCTCCTTCCAGGAGTTCTCTCTGTTGTTGCTGCTTGGTCTTATCTCTTCTGGCTCTCTGTCACTTTCTCCGTCCACTGCTGTTCCGCTGCCGCTTTTCAGTATCTCTTGCTGCAGCTCACAGTGGAGAAACATCTCCCGGCTCAGCTACAGACACTTAGCCCAGTCTTACACTGTTCCAAGTCCCTGCAGTCCCCAGCTGGGGGCTAGGGGGGCCAGAGCCCCCCCAGGGGGCTCTTGCCCTTTCTCCTCATGGCTCTACAACATGGCTACTTCTTCAACTACAACAATCACTACACCTTCTCTTCCGGTCTGCTTGTGATATGTTTATATTTTGCAGAAGCGCTCATTGGGTAAAACCTCAAGGGTCACCACCCCCTGGGGTTTTACCATTTTATAACTTCAGGGGGAAAACTGTTTCCCCCCACCACAACCAGTCACTAGCAAAAGTGGCTGAGGTTCACTTCTGCAGTCAAATGCTGGCAAAAAGAGCTCAAAGAGTAGCTTGGGATGCCACATGAATATTATTTTAAGGAAGAACAAATACACATATATCCCCAAAGACAGATCTTGCTCATTCCAAAATCTCAGGAGTCTCTATGTGATGAAAAGAATTCTGCTTCACTGCTCACAAAAAAGCTTAGATTTTAAGACCTTCATGCTAAAAAAAGTTTTTAAAGTTACCATCCCATAAAGTCATAGAATCACACAGAACTCCTTTTTTTTTAGAAGTATGTTGACACGTGCAAAACCATAAAAGATAATGTACTTTTCAACACTTTCACTGACAGCTGACCAAAGCTGTGCTAAAGGCTCTAGTGCTTTGGGGTTTTTTGCATTTCTTTTTAAAGTCAGCAGCCAAAATATTGCAATTTGTGATGCTACCATAACATTCTCTCTCATTTTTATTCTCATTTCTATTAACTTTCTGCATTTTTGGTTAAACCATGGCTCAGATCACTTAGAATATAACTGTGTTCAATACATTAAACCTGAACAGAAGTGTGTAGGTACATACAACATTAAAAAATGGGGTGCTGGCATCATTAAATTGTTCTATGAGAAGCATCTACATAAAGTGGTCCCCTCAGGCAGTACAGAATAAAGGATGATAAGATAAATACACTGGAGTTCCATGCCTGAATAGTTCAGGAAATGACTATATAAGAGAGGTAAGAAAGTTAAATTCCACAGAACAGCTACATGAATGACTCTGTGCATTACCTACTTGTTAAGAAAAGCTGTGAATCCATAAACGCTGCTATTTCCAAGGCCTCTCTTCTTTTCTATAGTAAAACTCTAAGCTACAGCTAATGATAATCTTAGAAGTGGAATGAAACAAATCAAAGCTCCTTGCCAAAGCATTCCTTCTTGTTTCATCTGCAATGATGAGGTGCTTACTCTTCCAACTAGAAAGGATGTAAAATTAAAAAATAAAGCAGAATTCACAGAGAGCAGTCAAGCATTTCAAAGTCAACCAGGAGAAACTGCATTTTACGTGCAAAATATTACTCAAAATTGAATCAAAGAAAGTAAATTAGACTGCAAACGTAAACCCAAGTTTTCAGAAATGCCTTCAGAACCAGCATTGCTGATTGGATTCCCTCGGAAAGGACCATGTGGGTTTCCAAACAGCAAGAGACAGCTTTGGCTACTCCTTCAGTATTAGAGAAATGAGAAGGCTCAAAATCCAGGACAACTAATCTTTGTCTTCAAAGACATTTATACTGATAAATCTGGACTTTGGTAAGAAGCAAAGCACAGTGTGCAGGAACAGCTGTAGCTCCATGTGGAGAAGCCCAGTGCAGTCACTGGACTACGAACATCTCCAGCTACAGCAGCTTCACTGTCCAAACCATTCCAAGGCACCAAGATTTTACCCTGACTAATTAAAGACTTATTGTTAGTCCCTGCGCTTGGCCTGCCACTTGAACCTCACGACTCACATGCTGCCAGCATGATATGAACTGTTTGAACCAGAAGTTTTACTGGGAAGCCCTGTTAATTCTTGTTGGTGCTGGCATGTAGTTTCTCTGTTTATTTACAGATCCTCAAACAGGATCCCTCCTCCATGAATTCTACTGCAGGAATGAGATTGATGAAAAAATATATTAGAAACATTCTATCCTGTGGGTACACAGGAACTGTGCAATTGCTTTCTCCTCACTTGTGCCAAAAAGCTATGAAACCAGGTGTGAGTCCCACTGAAGGCTGATCAGATGTGACACATCCGTGGCATGAGGAAAACACAGGAAATGCATAACACTAATGGGGATACTGTGCTACAAAAACAGTGGGAGATGCAGAATATTTGAGGCGTATAGTAGAGGAAAAATTCCTTACACACAGTACAGGTTGCACATTGTATATGCTATTACCAAACAGGAAAATTGTTTTTTTCCCTGTGTATAGCAAATATACATGTATATACATCATCAATACAGGCTCACTAAAGCATTGTTATTGGCTCCCCTTTATTACTAGAAGCTCTTCTCCAGGCTACTTTTAACTTTTTTTTCCTTTTTATTTTTCCCAAGCCTCATCACAACCTCACGATTCCATGGTATAGTTTGGTCTTTTGCTTTCTTGGTTATTTCTAACAAGAAAACTCATAACTGTACAAGTCAGGATTCCACAAACAGCTTTTATTTCCTCTAATTAAAGTACTCATGCTTTCTTAATATTCCTGTTTTTGAGTTCTCAAGTAAAAAAAGTGAGAAATCATATGACTCATGCCCTAGAGGGCATCCTGTTAGTGCTCTGTGTGACACTGCACAGATGCTTTTTCTTCTGTACTTGATATTTAATATTTCTATAACTAAAGGAGTATCACCAAGTAACAGCAACACTATAGTGCAGCAAGCTTAAATAAAGCTCTTGGAACTTTCAGAGAGTTTCTTCTGGTTTACTTACCAAAAGTTCTGAAAGTGAAATGCTCAGAATTTTTTCATACTGGCAATCATTGTTTGATACTCAAATATTCACTGAATTACTACTTAGTAGCAATGCTGACTTCATAAATGATAATAGTAGGATAATAACAGGGTCAACACAGAGAGAAGAATAAAAGCACAGGGCACTCCTTGGTTGAAACTAAATGAACCTAAAAATGTTTAGAAATGATCTGTAAAGTTGTTCACAACGCTGAATACCAATGACATAATCTGTATTTCTCTTTTCATAACTCCTAACATTATTATGACTAGTGTAGTGGTTTGGGCTAGGCCTTCCTTGGTGACCAGTTTGTAACCAAGGAAGGGTCCAGATTTACCCAGTATTCCCTACGATTTTTACGTAAACCAGATTATAAGAAGAAAGGAGGAGAGGCCTTCGCTCTCTTTCCTTCCGGCGGCTTGGAGGTGCAGGTTCCCTGCTGTTGATCTGCCGTGTTGGGGAGCGAGGCCTGGTTAGGCCTTGCCGACCTTGGGAGACAGAGGTTGCCGGCGATCGTTCCGGAGCGACCCTCGGTTGTCCCAGGAGAGTAGTGAGCTATTTCTTTGCTAACTCTTTTAGTGGATAGATATTGGGCTGCTAATTGGGATATTTATATATATATATAATATTTTGGTTTTGTTCTTTTTCCCTTCCCCCTTCCCTTTCCCTTATTTTTAATTGTATATAAGTGTAAATATATTTATATATCTCACTTTGGTTCTCTCTCTCTCGTTTCGGGTTTTCTTTCGTTTTTTTTTCTCCCTCTTCTCCCTGAGGTTTGAGGGGGGGGGGGGAACTCTGGTGGTAAGGTTTGGAGACTTGGCAGGGAGCCAGCTTCAAACCATATCAACTAGTAACATAGTAGCACTTTAAACAGAGAATTGCATAGTGAGCGTTCTTACTACACTGTTTGCCAGTTGAGCTCTGGTAACTATAGCTACCCATTCTAAGACAGTCTCAATTCCAAAACAAACACTGTTTTATCAACAGCTGAGTGACTTTCATCACATGCCAAACTAGTCTAAAAATTTTTTGTTCATGATAAGAGGATGCTGAGAGTGTGTCTATTCTGAAATTATAGGCCAACTACTTTTCTGGAAGTTAACCATTAACTTATTTTCTTCTAATGTAGAAAATCAATTAAATAAGTGTGAAGGACCAGGAATCAGAATGGGGAAAATCTCAGAAGCGGAAAAAGATGTACAGTGATTGAAAGGACTTTATGATACAGACTTTACAGTTATTATGTATATACACACTGTATGCTTCTCCAGAATTTATATTTCCCGGGCATGTCCCAGCCTGTTCATCTCCCTGCTCACCTCCCTGCTCCTCTGTTTCTCTGCCGATTGGCTGGAGAAGCTGCAGAGAGGGGACAGCGGCCATTCGCCCCTTCTCTCCCCAGTTCCTCCCTCTTCTGCCCGTGTCCCTATCCTGGTTTGTCCCCCTGATTGTCTGTCTCATGCTCCGCCCTATGTTCTGGTCCTTTCCCCTCCCGAGCTGATAAAAAGACCGGGTGCACGCGTGAATAAAGCATTCTACCTGCATCCCACCTTTGTGTCCCGGACTCGTGCAATGCCACAGTCCCCCACCCCTTTCGGACGGCAGCAAATAAGACTGCAAATTTTTAGTGTAAAACATAATAGAGAATCTCAATGATACATTTATTACAGTTTCAAGACCTGCTCCCATAAATGGACAATTAATATGTCTGATCTCACATTTAGGAGCAGAAAGTTCCTTAGGACATACTAGACAGAAATACATTTTACTTCACCATCAACGAGCTACAAGATAATTCAGATGGTGCTTACTTATATTTCATGATTAAAAATATTTGTCTCAATAAAGTTTAACAGCTATGGAGTATCTGAAGTAAAATGCTTGCAGGTTTGTCAGTAACCAACATATGACCTGTGTAGCATTTTTCCTCACTCATAATAATGTTTAATTACTAGCACGTGGAATAGCAATTTAAAGTCCCTGGTTTTCTCCCAAGCAATGTATCAATATGTTATAAAATACTGATCTTACCACTCCTGGGAAGATTTTCAGTAGCCTGTCTGCTGCTGCAAGTGCCTTGGGCTTCCCCCCACTCAGACAATCCTCAAACTCGTACAGCGGCTGCCGCACGGGGTTGGAATAGGAGATCTTTGCATTGTCCACAAATGTGATCTTCCTGACTCCCCAGCCCTAAATGAGAAAGGAGTTCAAATAATGACAAGTACAATAGCCTTAGATAAATACTTTTGAGTGCCAGACACATTGTCCCTTTTGTTTCTAGAAAGATCAAGCTACGAAAGGTTTTGAACCTTGTACTCGCACAGAAATCGAAGAACAGAAAATATAGTCTGTCCAAATATATCATTTAACAGTAATCCCTCAAAACCTGAAACATCCCTGAAAGCAATTATCAGCATAGTTAGTTACTTTAAGTGCTTCACTGTGAATGTGATCATAGAATCACAGAATCAACCAGGTTGGAAAAGACCTCCAAGATCAAGTCCAACCCTTGATCCAACCCTGCCGTGGTTCCCAGACCATGGCACTGATGCCATATCCAGTCTCATCTTAAAAACCACCAGGGACGGTGACTCCACCACCTCCCTGGGCAACCCATTCCAATGTCTGATTACTCTCTCTGTAAAAAATTTATTCCCAACATCTAACCTAAACCTCCCCTGGCACAGCTTTACACTGTGCCATCTTGTCCTACTGCTGGTTGCCTGGGAGAAGAGACCAACTCCCACCTGGCTACACCCTCCTGTCAGGAAGTTGTAGAGAGTGAGGAGGTTTCCCCCAAGCCTCCTCTTCTCCAGGCTGAACAGCCACAGCTCCCTCAGCCTCTCCTCACACCACTTGTGCTCCACTCCCTTCACCAGCCTTGCTGCTCTTCTCTGGCCCTGCTCCAGCACCTCCATGTCCTTCCTGAACTGAGGGGCCCAGAGCTGGACACAGCACTTGAGGTGTGGCCTCACCAATGCCAAGTACAGGGGAAGAATCACTTCCCTGCTCCTGCTGCCACACTGTTTGTGATCCAGGCCAGGATCCATAGGCCTTCTTGGCCACCTGGGCACACTCTGCCTCATATTCAGCTTCCTGTCAATCCAAACTCCCAGGTCCCTCTCTGCCTGGCTGCTCTCCAGCCACTCTGTCCCCAGCCCGTGGGGCTGCCAGGGGTTGTTGTGGCCGAAGTGCAGGACCCGGCACTTGGCCTGCTTGAACCTCATCCCACTGGAATCAGCCCAACTCTCCAATCTGTCCAGGTCCTTCTGCAGAGCCCTCCTGCCTTCCAGCTGATTGACACTCCCCCCAGTTTGGTGTCATCTGCAAATTTGCTAATGGTACACTCAATCCAATCATCCAGATCATCAATAAAAGATTAAACAGAACTTGGCCCAACACTGATGCCTTGGGGACACCACTAGTGACCAGATCCCAACTGGATGCAGCACTGTTCCCTACCACTCTCTGGGCCTGGCCCTCCAGCCAGTTCCTAACCCAGCACAGAGTGCCCCTGTCCAAGCCATGGGCTGCGGCTTTTCCAGGAGTGTGCCATGGGAGACGGTGTCCAAGGCCTTGCTGAAGTCCAGACAGATACATCCACAGCCTTCCCCTCATCCACCAGGCGGGTCACCTGATCATAAAAGGAAATCAGGTTGGTCAGGCAGGACCTGCCCTTCCTAAACCCCTGCTGGCTGGGTCTGATCCCTTGTCCATCCTGTAGGTGCTGTGTGATTGCACTGAGGATGATCTGCTCCGTAACCTTGCCAGGCACTGAGGTCAGGCTGACAGGCCTGGAGTTTTCTGGGTCCTCCTTGCAGCCCTTTTTGTGGATGGGCGTGACATTCGCCAACTTCCAATCATCTGGGACCTCCCCAGTGAGCCAGGGCTGTTGGGAAATGATGGAGAGAGGCTTGGCGAGCTCTTCTGCCAGCTCCCTCATCACCCTTGGGTGGATCCCATCTGGTCCCATAGACTTGTGAGGATCCAAGTGGCTCAGCAGGTGGCTAACTGTTCCATCCTGGATTACAGGGGGGCTGTTCTGCTTCCTGTCTCTGTCTACCAGCTCCAGAGGTCAGATGTCCCGAGGACAACCTGTCTTACTGTTGAAAAGTGAGGCAAAGAAGGTGTTAAGTACCTCAAGCCTTTTCCTCATATTTCATGACTATGCTCCCCCCATGTCCAATAAAGAATGGAGGTTTTCCTTGCCCCTCCTTTTGCTATTGATGAATTTGTAGAAGCACTTCTTGTTATCCCTAACAGCCATGGCTAGACTGAGTACAAATTGTGCCTTTGTCTCTCTAATTTTCTTTCTACGCGACCTAACTGTATTCCTAAACTCTTCATGAGTAGCCAGCCCTTTTTTCCACAGTCGGTAAGTTCTCTTTTTTCCCCTAATTTCCTTTAAAATCTCCCTGTTCAGCCAGGCTGGCCATCATCCCTGCCGGTTCGCCTTTTGGCACACTGGGACAGCTGCTCCTGTGCCTTCAAGACTTGGATGTCCATCCCTCCTGGACCCCCCTTTGTTTTCCAGGACTGTTTCCCAAGGTACCCTGTGAACTAGTCTTCTGAATAGACCAAAATCTTCCCTCTGAAAGTCCAGGGCAGAAGTTTTATTGATGGCCCTCCTTGCATCTCTGAGTATTGAAAACTCTCTTATTTCATGGTCACTGTGCCTGCCCCAGACAGGCCACATCTGACCACCACATCTCCTACCGTCCCCTCTCTGTGAACAGCAGGTCTAGTGGGGCCCCACCCTGGCAGGCTCATTTACCAGGTGGAGCAGGAAATTATTCTCTATACAGTGTAGGAATCTCCTAGACTGCCTCTTCTCCACTGTGTGGAGTTCCCAGCAGACATCCAGCAGGGTAAAGTTGCCTACAAGGACAAGGGCTGGCAATTTTGAGACATCCACTAGCTGCTTGTAGAATAATTCATCACCCTCATCATCCTGGTTGGGTAGTCTGTAACAGACTCCCATCAGGATATCAACCTTGTTGGCCTTACCCGATTCTGATCCACAGGCACTCAACCTTATTGTTACTGACTTCAAATTCTACAGAGTCAAGAGACTCTCTAACATATAGAGCCACCCCTCCACCTCTCCTACCTTGCCTGTCCCTTCTGAAGAGCTTGTAGCCACCCATGGCAGCACTCCAGTCACAGGAGTCATCCCACCATGTTTCTTTGATGGTGACCACATCCCAGTTTTCCTGCTGCACAATGGCTTCCAGCTCCTCCTGTTTGTTACCCATACTGCGTATTATAGCTCATTAAAATTAACGAGAATTTCTTGTTCAATCTTTTTTAATGTAAATTCAAAACAAGTACTATTCTGCCATGGGTTCTCTGACTTTCTGCTATTCTACTATTAGCAGAACTTTTTGGCTACGGATCCTACCTCTTCCCTGCAATTTATAGTATCAACTAATTATGCATTATGTGTATTTTAATGCACAGGAATACAACTTTTCTCTTATGTGTCATGGCAGCTGGACAAAAAAAAGAAACACAGAATTTATAAGAAACAGCAGATTAGTTTTAAGATTAACTCAGGACTTACCATCAAGGTCCTTGCAACACTACAACCCAGTGTACCAGCTCCTAGCAGCAGACACTTGGCAGACACAATCTTTTCCAAATCCAGAGTAGGCACCAAACGCCAGCACATCAATTTCAAATTAAGATCCACAGATGATTCTGCTAACCTAGACCACAAAATAAATAGCAACACACTTCTGAATGCCCTTGTGTTTCTCTGACAAAGCAATTACTTGTTTTTCAACTGGAGAAGTTCAAGACTTATTTTTTTAAAGGAGAGAAAGAATTTGGCAATTTAACACATCAGTAATACGACAAACAAAGTCTCTCAAGCGTATTTCTACCTAATAATAAGGTGCATGGCAAGGACAGTGGAAAAACTTTTTTTTACGCTCCTTGTTCACTCATGACACATGCAAAACATGCAAAAAGAAGATGCCAAAAATCATTCTAAATAAATACACACACAGTTCCTGATACTCAGTTTCCTTGGAACCTCTTATTGTAACCAATGTGTTGGCCCAATAACATTCTTAGAAAAGCTGTGACTGCACTGCTTAAAAACAGAAGAGTAAATCACTACTGAAGAAACAGTAGAAAGATAGTGGAAGTTTAAAAGAAATAACTTGTAGATATTTGAAAAGATGGTTATTAAGCAGGAAATTTTGCTAGGAAAATGTTCTCTTTCATAAGCCTGGATATACTAAAAAGGTGTCAGCTGGCCACTCTGGACTTGCTACTAAAGCCACATACTTCCTTTGGAATTGGAACAGGTCTCTAAGAGCTTCTGAAGAGGTAGCAATCCAAAATTAAAATTTTAGTAACAAAACTGATGCAAGCATGAAAATAAAAACAGTGTCTCAGACAAGATTCCTGTTAAGATCATTTACCCATCAACTATTTTTTCTTCTTTAAATTGGTTTCCCGTATGCAATTACACCTGCCCTTAACATGAAATATTACATTTATCCCCTAAAGAATCTGGTCAGTTCTTTGTGAAAGTTTTAGAAGGAAAATGAGGTAGGAAATCCATGTTCAAGCTAGTTTTGGGTTTTTATATTCATCAGAACACAGGGTGTTAAAACTCTCATCAACCAAGCCATCACAGCTCTCAGATTCCTAAAAGTTTCATTCCCTTATACATCGTATAAAAAATTTTGCAGTATCCACTAAATTATTTGTTCAACAAGGATTTAAGATGGCAACTGTCAAGGCTGGCATATTACCAACATCCCCTGTAGGAAATAACAGAAGTGAACATGCATAAAATAAAGAAGTTACATTTACCTACAATTAAGAGTCCTTAGATGAACTTCTCGAAGGAAGTATGAACATACTGAGAATTGCCACAATTGCAAGACAAAAATGGCTTTGCTTGATGTGTAAAAGGTTAACCTGAATCATTAGATCAGCACACTCTTACAGTGTTTCCAAGCCAAGAACACAGATGCAGTCAGTGAAAGCAGACAAGCCTACAGGCCCTGTAACTCTTTTCAATCCATTATTGAATGATAAAAATCACTAAAGTCATGTTTCCTGAGCTCTTTCCTGTCACGCTCTAACAATTCCCAAAGGCTGAACTTTTCTCCATGCTTATTATCATTAACAACCTGCAGGTTATAGAATTCAGTGAAAACCACAGGCTGGTAACATCATGGCCTACATCTCACTCAGTTCTAAATACAATGCATTTGAAATTTTAAGCTGAAGTTAAAAATGGCAAAGATTTCTGCTGCAGGCAGTGCACTGTTCCATTAAGGTTCTTCTCTCCAAAAGGACTGCCAAAACAATACCCAGTGTATATGTTACTGGATATTCTGACCTAAGAGACAGATACTCCTTGCATTTCACACTTCCAACTTGTTATGGATTGAGCCCAAGTAAAGAAAACTACTGGAATTTAAAAGATAAAAAACAAACCTTTTTGGATCCATGCACTCACTGAGATTCACCATCCTCGGACCCATGCCTCCCTTTTGGTTTTTCTCCCATCCAACAGCTTTTGGACAATCTGTTTGACATATGGAGAGAAAAAAAAAATGAAGAAAAAAACAAAAGAAAGAATGAAAGCCTTAATATCACAGGATAGAAAAAAGAAATTTTGTTGGATTTAACATTGTTGGAAAAACACTAATGCTAAACTTTTAAGTAAATAATCTGTATCTTAACCACCCAGTGCATGTTGCTACACAAATATTGCTGATTTCATCACCTGAAAGCATTGATTCTCAGAGAAGTGCTTTGCCCTCAGGTGTCCCATGTGCTGCTCTTGCCTGTTCAGCTTGCTTTAAACCTAAAAGAGACAGCACCATTCCCCGTCAAGCTTCCAGATCTTTAATGTCAAGCTCAGTAAATTCATAAATCAGAACTCAGTAAATTTTGCCAAGTTCAATCATTTCTTCACGTTCCCTAGACACTACCTGTGAATTCAGTGGAGAATTATATATATATATAATTAAGCAATTCATAAAAATGATATATATAAAGCATTCAAAACTTTTTGGATGAGGTAATGTTGTGATAATGTCCTTTAACTCTGAAATTATGCATGAGCATTATCTGGATATGTCACTACGGGATTGAAGACAGTTTCACTCTGCTCCAAGCTTTTACTATTTTAGCAATATACAGAAAGTTTACACCATATAAATTCACTATTATATGCATTTTTTTCTACCTGAGGAACTGCGTACAAATTTAACAAGAACATACTGATTGCCTGGGTTTTTTGTATTTCATATGATACCAGGAGGACTTTTCTTGTTTTTAAATTAGAAACACAATTAATGTAGGAAAAAATTAAAAGAGAATATGCTCTCTTCTTTCTTTGTTGAAGACAGAACCATTTCCTTTGTAGACATTTGACAGAAATTCAAACAATTTAAAATCCCTTTGAAATAACTTAGTATAAGCAATGACTTGGTATGATTATTTTATTTTTCTGTCTCTGCAGTGATTGAGGAGGGAGAAAAAAAAATAGGAATTTTTTTTAAACTGGATTACCTGGGCCAAGGGGTTTCTCTGGAAGTTTTATTTCAAAGATAATGCTGTGTGTTATGTCCCTCACCCCTTGCATGGTCCTGTCTCTGAAGCAGAGCACTTCAACTGTCTGGAGAATGTTGCTCCTGCCATTAAAAAAAAAAAAGATAATAGAGACAGACATGCAACTTCTTTAATAGAAGAGGGACTTCTTTTAAACACCATTTCATAAAGGTTTAGTCCCTCGTAGGTTCTGAGTAAGGCTTTTTCTCAGGCACAGAAATAGAACAGAAATAGAAACAAGTCCTTAGGACATGAAAATATGAAAATAACTAGTTTGCTGTGAACAGTTCTATGTAATGACACTGTCAGCCTGTCCTCTCTCATATATAAAATGCTGCTGGACAAACTGTATATTTAGAGGAATAAAAAGCAGGGAATCACTAGAGCACATCTCAGGTGACGATGGACTGTGCGATGTCACAAGCAAGATCCTCTTAGTTCTCAATATGGTATAATTTTTCCTCCTTATGATTCAATATCTCAAATCAACCAATAGAACTTGAGTGCCTAAAACCCCCTGAATCCCAAGAACATGCAAACCCCTTGGCTCTTACAACATCTTTGCACACTGGCAGCCCAGAAAACACACCCAACCCTGCACATCTTCTCCTGAGTGCTTTGGAATAAAACATGACAGTCAAAACTATGGCAGTGCAGCTTAATTACAATTTTGTTACAGCAACACAAATTTATTTCATCCTTTAAATTATACTTGTTTTCCAAAAACCAGTTTAAATTATACTTTTTTCTCCCAAAAACCAGAGCGTAAAACTGTCCTGTCTCCCATCTTCTGTCTAACAAAAAAAATTCAAGATGGTACACTACAAGAAAACCTAAGAATATATGATTTTCAAAATTGAGGTCCACTATTACTTGACACTAATAAATTATATAAATTCATAGAATACTTTTAACAGTATTTGAAGCACCTAGCGGGTATTATCGGGGTCTGAAGCAGGTATTTCCAGGCACATGCATTCATGTGAGGATTAGGATTAATAGGAACTTGTGGCTCACAGAAGTAAAAACCAGAATAATATATAAAATCAGAATCACTCAAGGTGAGGCATGTCGAGGGTAAAAGCAAAATCTCAGATGGGTGATACAAGTAAAGTGCCATGGGGAGAAAAATGCCTAATTTGGTATCAACCAATAAATTAGCTTTGTGTGAAAGAATAAACTAGATACCAATTGTGGGCTGCCAGGATCAGGAAATTTCTCAGTGGCCATCCTGGATATTGGGATAAATTACATGGATCATAAACTCCAACCGTCACCTGCAAATAAAATTGATCTGCATGAGAAGTCATCTATTCATACATATATTAATTCAGTTCACAGTAAAAGTTATCTGGTATTTTTAATGTAAAAATTCTAGACAGGGAAGGCCCACACACACATTTTGCATATTTACAAATATTTATTATATAGTTACACTAGATTTCAGTCAAGCATTTGACACAGCTTTGACATTTATTTAGTTTGGCCTCTTTATGGACATTCAGTGTTCACTCCAGTAAATGCACCTTCCTTACATTGCTTGAAAACACCATTATGAGAGAAGCCCATCAACTGAAGCCTTGCTTTCAAAACAAAATCCTGTACTCACTTTGGAATGATCAAAAAGTGAAGGGACACATGTCAGCAAGACAATAAATTAAAGGAAAACCAGCATAAAAATCACTTGTAAAGCCAACCTTCAAGATGGTACCATTGTGCCCAGCTCAGTATCACAGACAATTTTCAAACCATTTGAAAATTAAACATTTATAAGATTTAAAATTCTCATTACCTTTCCCCCTTGGTCTTGAAAGAAACCATCCCACTTTTTCAATAGAGATATCATGACAGAATTGTTGTGATACTTGATTAAAAAATAAGGCAGGGCTGTAACCCCCTCTTTTTGGCAAAGGTCATCATATGCTTTCTGAAGTGCTTGAATCTAAAAGCAAAAAGACAACTGTAACCAACAGTTTTAACCACAGTAACAGAGATAAAAAAATTAAGTTGCTAAAACAGCATTTGTCAATGTAAATTTAAACAGGAGCATTATTATCATTGTCACAAACTGATGTAGCAATAAGAATTAAACCAAGATAAAAATCTCATCCTGATAGTCAGAGAAGCTTTTTAGAAACTAAATCTGTCCCTTTCTTATTAGGAAAAAACCAGTCCTACTTAATTTATTTCACTAGGTGCATTTTCAGTGTTCAGTTAAAACTCTGTCTTTGGATCATGACTGTTACGTATTTTTACATATTTACCACTACAGAAAGGTCTTCCAAGAAGGGATATAAGCATTTTTCACTGAAAAAAACCAAAATTGTTTCTCATTGATTACTATTCCATTAAAAAGTCATTCAAGGTTCTGCATTAACTTCTGTCAAAGAAAAAAGGCACATGTGGGCAAGTGGATTTTTTTGGTTCTTTTACACTGTAGTATGAAAGAAACTCAAAATAGTTATCTTTTCTCCTTAAAAAAAAAATCTTCCCCATTAACTCCTTTTCTTTATCCAATCATTTATTTTAACAATTTTGTAATTTTAATGACTTGGTTCTGCCAGGGGATGCCCTTTTAAAAAATTTTCTTTTATAATGGATTTCAAACACATAGTTATATATTCATTAAGCTGTATATAAAAAAATTAACATAACTGCCACTTTAAGAAGTGTTTGCCACATCATTTGCTTCATTGCCTGAATCATTATTGCCTCATCTAAATGAATAAAGGTGAAGTAATGTTAAGCTGAGAAATTGTATACAATAACAAAAAAAGAGGTAAACAAAACACCCACTTGGAAATAAGAAAAGTGAAGAATTTAAAAGAAATTAGGTTCTCAAATTAATTCAGTACGTGCTAACAAAAAATACTAAGTTTTGCAGCTCACAAAATTTCTTAGTACTACAGACTTCAGAACATTCAGCATTTTGAATACCTGATTTAATGAGAACCTCTCACCAAGACACACCGGTTTCTGAATTATATGTATTCCATTGGGGAAGCAGAGAGCAGGGTAACAAAACCAGTAATAGAAGTGATACTTTTTTAAATCCTAGAAAAAGAAATGTAAAATTAGATAATAAAAATATACATCAAACTAAATGATGGTTTGGAATATTAATTATAATTGATGGTCAATGATACTAATCATAGGAACCACGGTTCTCTTTACCTCATAAGGCACTGTGTCATGACTTTAGAAAACCATAAAAAATACTAGAAAACTTCCCTTCTCTGTATACATTTTTATTTAAGATTTAAACAGATAATGTGTATACAATCCTTCAGTTTTTATTAACTGGAGCATTTATTAAAACTTCCAATTTGTGAAACATGAAACAGTTGCTCTACTTTTACTAATATGTATAAAGCCATCAGGTAATCTAACAGATTTGTAGAAACTATATGAGATGGCACCAGCATTTTTTAAAGAACACATCCTAAAATATTTGATAGCTCTACATCAGAGTGGTTTATTAGGGTTTTTTTTAAATATTTTCAGACATTATAAGGTGTCTGAGAGTGATCCTGGTGACATTGATACGGAAACAGTAATACAGCATTTCTCCTTAAAAGAAACCACTTCATCATTTCCACTACAATGCTCTAAATATGAGATATATTATTTCTACTCACTGCAAATGTCAGCAGTAGAAACCTGTTCAAAAGCATGGGGTTTTCAAGAGCAGCTCCAGATTTTATGGATTCCCATATCTGTCATTGATGGACAAGAAGGAAGAGAAAGGGCAGAAAAACAAAACACCAAGAGAGCATGAGAACAGCTGCAAAAGCTTTAATTCTTCAAGCTATACCTTTAAAGTCTGGAAATTACCACTCCCAGTAATACACTGTGATCCTTTCCTAACTGATCTCATCCGCACTGTTATCTGTGCAAAAAGGATCTTAAAGGTAAGACGCAGGAACACAAAAAATTCAGTCTTGAGTGAAGAGATGCATGAAAATTTTGCTACTCAATGCCAACATGCAGACAATCATTTGAATTAAAGGAATCAAGGGTTGGTCAAAGTGAAGTGTTTAAAACAGTAAAAGGTTGCCTTAAGTTTGACTTTCGCTTCTTACCAAGTGATGACATTAAATTTAGCTAGTTATAGTGCAAGTAGACTGGCCTCTTTGACAGCCACCTTTTTCTTGCTTTATTTCAGTCTTCTTGCTGCTCTGGAGCTTCTCCATCTCTTTGTCACAGAGATATATTGCAGTAATCCAGTGTTTAAACCAGGCACTTGCTGGTTTCTGGATGTCAAGACAAATTGGCAGCTCCTGCTAAGCTTAAAATGCAGCCTAGCAGAACGCTGAATCAAGTTCTCAAAGTATAATTAGCTACTTTCCATTCTCTTGTAAAGAACCGTAAAAATCAAACACCAAACTATTCCTACCAGAATAAGGTAGATCCTGAGGCTACTTATATGGATGAGTATCCCCAATACTTGGAGCAGAGACTATAAGGCACTTCAACTGGTAGAAAGAATTTGGAAATAACCGGTGATTTGATTTTTTAGTCTTACCTCATTGGCTTCTTTTTCCAGAAGTGATTTCTTATCACAGGATTTGAACGTCTCAAAAGTGTTGGTATTATACAGCGTTCCAAAAGCAGGACAGCAATGGGCTGGTATCGAAGCGTTCCTGAAAAAAAGAAGGAAACCCCTGGGAATTGGATATACCTTTAACATGATCAGAAATAGCAGCAGTAGCTTCCTATGGTATAAGCTTGCCCTGAAATTACCAAGTGATGAGGCACAGTAACACAAGTCAACAACACCTCAAATAAAAACAATTTTATGATCATAATGCTTTATAGAATATGGACTGGTTACAAATACACCTCTCCATTATGACTTTGAAAACAGATGAGGCATCTGTATTGTCTCTAAGCAAGGTGACACTAAAATATGGATTTAAAAATTCTGTTCAAATATAAGCTATCCATGACAAACGTGATTTTCACTCAGAAAAAAAAAAATTTAGGCTAAACTTAGACATCAGTATTGTATTCACATAAAGAGTTACTCAGTTAAAATTTTATGTTTAAAATATGTCCCAAAGGAAGTCTAAAGCAGACAAAAGATTAAGAGGAAAAACTGTTGTTTGCAAATACAGAGGAGTTTTTTGAGATAAATTAGGTAAAACCCTACAATATTCCCTTATTTATAGATCTGACCATTGACTCCTTTTTAACATTCTTCTCCCAAACTGATACGTTTCTGGCCATTGCTAAAACTTAAATACAGCAAATGTTTAAGTTACATCATAAATACATATGATGTAGTTTCCAAAAATTTTTAAAGCTAAAAGGCACTTCTTCATGATCACCTACATTGATTACATAAGGTACAGAAAATTACTATAGTAGAAGGAACAATTAAACGTTACCTAAGTGGACATTTCATAATTTTATTTTTGTCCTAATGGTTGTGAGCTCAAACACCATGGTACCATCCCTTTATTCCTAACCTGCAATTCCTGTTCCCAATGTCACAGCTGTCTTCCAATTGCACTTTGCTGCATAAGCCTTCAGTATTTTACCTAAATATTCTTACGTAAGAATTAATGGGATAATATCTCCTAGGAAATTATCTCAAAATGCACAAAGCCTCAGCACGCTCCTAACACCCTCACCAAGCAAGGCACACTGTGATTTACAACTCTATAATCCACCACTTTAAAACAAACGAGACACTAACTATGAAGGCATCTGTTCCTATGTTAGTTATACTAACTTAGGCATTGCTGGAAATTAAAACCACGTCAAAAAATATTTTCCCTCTCATCTCGTTTTTGCTCTGTACACTGAGGCAACTTTGATTTACCTTTCACTTTGGGATGAAGGCAAAACTACAAAATTCCAGTCAAAAATGTTAAAATATTTTGGAAAAGACTGCAACGTAACAACCAGGGATAGTAAAAACTATTTTGAAATTCTGATCTTCAGTAAATAAAGATCTAAGGAAAAATTTGAAATTGGATGACTGATATAGCCTTCTTTACACAGAAAAACCAAAGAAATGGGAAAAGTGGTATTTTATAAACATATATACAAACATTGAGTGAATTTGAGACTTACCACCATATTTTAAACTCAGCCCTTCAGACACAAGGAGCTAGTGTTTGCAACTGAAAGCAGTCTCTCCACTGTTATAAAGTTCATGAAAAGGTATATTTATTCTCATGTAGAGTTTGTCTAAGTAATATTACATACTTATGTGTAGCTGTTATGAGAGGAAAGTGTCTTCATGCAGGAATTAAGGTAAACCACAGTATGTACTTACATATCAAAGGCACTAAATTCCAATGTCAAGCGAGCTGGCAAACCCAAAGGATCACCTGGACAAAAAGCAGCAAGATGTTTCTTTTAGACTGAAATACATAGATGAATTACCCTTTTTTTGTTAACCTAAGTTATAAATTACCCACGAAGAATTCTCAGTTCATTCAGCCATATTTTCTAATGTTTCAGCCAAACACCTAAATTATGTTACACAAATACTTAGAAGACTATGACAGGAGAAACCTGAACTGCTAAGGAAGATGTGCAGTTTCCACCTACCATTGTAATAGTATCCCTTGATAACTTTGGGGGTCTCATCCAGTCGGTATTCATTGAGTTTCTTCTGGGTTAGTTCGTGCCAGAATCCTGCATCCAAGGCACTACTGAAGGGAGCAAACTGCAGCTTTGAGATTCCAGGATCTACAGGATGGTGCACCTCACCACTGCCAGTGGCCATAATTTTAGCTGATGATCACTGTTAAACAGAATTCTGTAAGAGCAGATATGCCTGATAAGTATATACTCAATAGATCGTTTCACCTATGACTACTCACAGTTACTTTTTAACATATTTTGCTGGATTAAAGTGAAGAAAGCCTGTGATTATCTAAGATAAGCATAAATCCTGCAAAACAAGGATTTGTTACACATTAAAACTAAGATTTTAAAATATCAGTTTTAAAACTCCTCACAAAGATATGAACATAAGCTCGTATCTCTCTCACAGCACATCCATCTGCCAAGCCAACAACTGCTGTTTTCCAGGTCCAGAAGGGAGGTCAACAGCTATTGATTCCAGTTCTGTTCCAGTGCTTATCAAATCAACCACCTGAACTCAAATGACCTTGAAATGATTCCTTCAACTAAATATTTTTTAAAGACTATTTTTTAGCTGGCATAATGTAATCCTGTGCAATTGGCTTTTGTTACTGATCCTTCACAATACCCCTGTTACCTTTACACGTGAATCGACGCTAGGATTTTAAAGCAGGAAAGTCAAAAATAAGGTTCCCAACACAGCTATGTTCTCTGATGCTAATCTGAACAGACAACTACAGTTTTGCTGTATTGAAGTTTGGATTGAATTGAACTGCTCCAAGTTTACTATCCTGTGAAGTCACTTTTGCAAAGGAACTGAGCTTACAAGCTTTTCTTTTGCTCTCTTTGGAACAGGGGGAGAGGAACAAGTGGTGGGTTTAATTTCTTAATAACTGCCAAATATCCAACTTTGAGTCAAAGGCAGTTATGATTTTCCTTACAAGACACTTCCTTAAACAGTCTTCAGTGTAACCCAGCTATGCCTTCTATGTTCAATTTATCCAGCTTAGCTTCTCCTTTTACTGTAACTGCTTTCTTTACTTGCTGCTAAGTTGTGGAATGTGGTTTTTTGGGTGTAGGTTTGAGGTTTTCCATATCTTTCATGGTGAAAGCTACATGTTTCAGTTCTGTCACGATGTCTTGCTGTAACTGGCAATTGCAAATACACCATTTTGTCTTCCCCCTCCACCACCTTTTTCTTACATTCCCTTAATTTTTAGCAGCAGCTGGAATGCATGGCAGTGTGAACTTTGATAGCTTATCCCTTTTTATTAACACCAAAAAAAATCTGTTTCTTGAAACTTTGCAAGTCCTAGAAATGTAAAGATCACAACTAACTGCATGGAATTTTCTCACCATTTTTATAAACTTCTTTTTCTGCGAGTATAAGAAGTAACATAAATCAGCAAACATTTAACTTTTACTACTACATAGCTTTTAAGCCCTAATAATTTTTTTGTTTGCAACTGTATGTCACTGAAAGCTTATCATAAAACAGGCAAACAATCATTTGTCATAGAGATGTTAGCAATAAGAGTCAGATTACAGGGTGCTTGATGCCAAGGCTTCCATAATAAAACTTTTATTCAAAGGTTCAACAGCTGCCTAGTCAATATGAATCCACTAAGTTCCCTATCACCATTTTTTTCCAAAACAAGATCAAGTTGTCACTTTTCTTGCCAGACAAGCTCTATTGTAACTAAAAATTCTGAATTTCCTTCAAGCCTTTTCTCAACTTTTCAAACAGGTAATGTTTTCACTTTGCTTTTCCCCCCATGACACACCCAAGACAAAAGTGTCCTGTCAAACATTTTACACGACTGAGAAACCAGTGACAGTACCGAGATGTACATGAGTAACATACATTGAAAATACCAGCCTAAAAGCATCCACTTGGAATCAATTGTAACATCCTCCTTATTTTATTACAGCATCTCAAGAGTTATGGTGCAACTTAAGGAATACAAACAGGGGATCTCACTATGTGATGCACATGCAAACAGAAGAGCACATGCAATCACCTCTGATGTACGGATTCTTGAAAATCTTATTTAATGTATTCTGACATAAACATTCACTTACATGCATTCTTAATGCAATATCAGCAAACCAAGGTAAATCTGTGCAACAAATTTTAGAAGACTGAAGCAAAATGTATACATTTTGTGGAAATTGCATGCAGAAATTCACACACAGTCTCTAAAGGTAAGAAGTGACTAGGAAAATATAATAAAGAGAAGTAGAAAAAATATATCCAAAACTTTATATGTGGAACAACCCTGAGTTACAAAAGGGCACAGTTGAAAATTGTGCTTGAAATAAAAAGATTTACCAGTATGCCTTAGATATCCTGCCAGTCACAGAATTTGGGAGTATTTAACCCCAAATACAGATGCCCTATCACCAGCCTAAGTTCTAGCACTTGCTCTTAAACATGCAGACGTTTAAAACTGATCTGATGGAATATGTTAAGTGAAAAACACAGCAGGTCTTTTACTAATATTGGTCTTTCCCTTGACAGACATAATAATCTGTTGTTAAAGTCTGATTACCGGTTTACCAGCATTTAAAACTATCATGAAATTACAGGTTTTAAACCGAATTCACACAGTCCCCTAACATGTGTAGGGTTTTCTACAAAATGTTTTATTCAGTGGCCCAGAGGTGGGTACGTCAACGGTACCTGTGCAAAGGAGATCACTATTGCCTGAATTATTCTCTGAAGAGTAAAAAATTTTTCAGAGAAGCCGCTTCTGGGTTCATGCCCCTTTTCAAGCCCATTCTCGGGACAAAGAACTCTTCCCCGTGCCCCAAGGTCATTATGAACACACAAAAAGGCTACGCTGGCAACGGCGGCCATCCGTCCCGCCGAAACACTGACCGAGCCGGCAGGCGCTGCCCGCCCCGCCCCGCCTCCTGGCCCCGCACCCGACACGGCCCCGGCCCCGCACACCGACACGGCCCCGGCCCCGCACACTGCGTGACTGCAGTCCTAGCTAAGACTTCGGGACCACCGCGATCTCCAGGGGCGCGGAGCTCGCGGTCGGCGGGACCCTGAGGCGGGCGAGGTGCAGTGCGGGGCTGGTACGGGGGCAGCGTTGGGACCAGCGCCGGGACCCTGGGGGGACGGTGCGGAGAACCAGTGCTGGGACCCCGGGGGGCGGCGCAGAGGCTAGTGGGGACCCGGGGGACGGAGGGAGAATCAGTGCCGGCACCATGGTGGGGCGGCGTGGAGATCAGTGCCAGACCCCGCGGGACCCGCCCCACGATCCCCTCACCGCCCGCCCCGCTCGCTCCGCACCTCCCGCATCGCCGGCCGGCTCCACCGAGCGACGTCACCCCGCCGCACACACGTGATCAGGGCGGCCGGCGCGGGGCGATGACGACACGCGGGCGCTCTCTGCCTGAGGCGGGGGCGGGGCAGGAGGCGCGGAGGAGGCGGGGGGGGAAGGAGGGGGCAGAGGGGGGCGGGGTCGGATGGCAGTCTGAGGGGTCGGATGGCAATCTGAGGGGTCGGATGGCAGTCTGAGGAGTTGGATGGCAGTCTGAGGTAGTCTGGAGTGAGGATGGAGGCAGGTCCTAATGAAAGATGCACAGCTACAAGTGGGAAGGAGAAGGGTACCTGAAATCAGACTCCAGGAGTTGGATTTCTGCACAGCAGTTGTAGAGATTGTGCAGATCTAGGGATTATTCATATCTAGTGAGGATGAAATTAGTTGCCAAGTAGGATACCTGTCAATATATAGCAGTGGGTACTGTGCAGTCCTTTTAAGGTATCTTTGCAGATAAACCCAAATGATAACGGATACAAATACAGTTAAAAATAGCAACACTTAAACTTACCAGATGTCGAAATGGTTTGAACCATTGCCACACACAAATGTACATCCCTTGTACTTTCTAACTGGTGGAGATCACAAATGCAATTTTGTAATAGCCTGGTATGTGAACTCATGTCTGTGCAGGGGTGTAAAATGTACATCTCACCTTTGATTTTTTTCCTGTTTCTATTCTACACTCTAAGATGACAGTGGAGAAACAATTTATTTTGGTGTCAGGTATGTAGCATTTTTTAAGATAATTTTGAACTCAATATCAGGAGAGTAAACTTATTTTCAGGAGTTATTTTTCACACTGTGTCAATATTAATTGTTGTTCTTATATTCTAATTCTTAAATACTCACAATTTGATGAAAATTAATAATTTTGTCATTGTATTTGATATGCAAAAGTGAATATGTATGCATAGCATTTAAACTTAATTTGGCATTTACAAGTGAACTAACTCTTGTTCTGATGGAGGGATTGCCTGCATTGAAATTTTTAAGTATATTCTTACACCTTCTCTGTAGGAACTTAAGCCAGGTTAGGAACTAGTCCTCTAAAATCCCTGACAACAGTGGAAAATCTGCAGAATTCAGGGGCTTCTCTAGAACTGTCCAGAAGTTTTTACAGTGTTTCTATATTAATATCTGAGCATTAGAAATGCCTTTTTTAAGCGAATCTTTCAGTCATTTTCAGTTATTGTGCTTTTACAAAGTGCATCATTAAGCGGTCTCACAGAAAATGTAATGGAGTCCTTTTAGATGATGGAATGAGGCCCAGCTGTGTCCCTACACTTACGTTTCCTTTACTGAGGGCGACATTTCCTGAAAATAATATGTGAGAAAGCAAATACTAAATGGCAAACTTCCCAATGCACAGCATTCCATGCAGCACCCCGGAACTCACTCATTACCCACCAGATGTCACCGTTGACGCAGAGAACATTGTGAGAACGGCTTTTTCTGCCTCTGAGAAGCCGGGTCAGTTGTTCTCACCACACTTTAATCACAATAGAACTCCAATCCAAGACATTCCAAGACACTTGTTATGTTCTTTTAAAGCTATGTGTCCTCTGACCTTGTTTATTAACTAGAAAACTTGAAATATTTTACGGGAAACCACACCTGAAATACTCTCTTGAGCCTTAGCCCCACGTGGTAGGAAGCTTCTCCACTCCTTACCCTAATTTGTTTTCCTCTCCTTCTCTTACATCCAGAGCCATTTGAATTGCCTATTCAGTACAGTAAACTGATAAATTCTCTTAGGTACCATGATAATTGGCATTTAAAATAGGATATTATAAAAAAAAATAAAACTCTCCTACTTTACTATTATCTATTATAGCTATCACATCAGAGAAGCCCATGATTACTTCTCCTGTCTTTATTCTTAACACACTTGCACTAAAATCATGGATAAAAATAAAGTGAGATAAAAAATATTCAGGCAACTTTATTTGCTTGGGTTTAGCTGTGCTGTGTTTGAACGTTCTGTAATTTTACTAGAGGTCTTCCTTGTTATGATCATTATAATTTTTAGAAAAATTTTCAGTTATCTTGTTTTTGTTGTTTTGTCGTGTATTAGTACATTTTAAAATCAGAAAAGACAATTGTCATGTCCAAGAGAACAGACTTCTTGATGACTCTGACTAGCCCTTGGGTAAATATGTTTCAGCAATGTGCACTAATAACTGTAACTGACTTAGTGTGCTGCCTTTTTATTTCCTAAATTACCATCCATTTTGGCTACAATTGCTGTTGCATATCACAATAGAAAAAAAAATCATAATGGCTGTGAATCTCTGCAATTGTTTGTGGAAGGCCATGGGATTAGAGCATATGTTTCCAGAGATGCTGCTCTGTACTCCAAAAGAATGTGTATTTTATTACTTGTGCAGGTGTTCCTCCTGCAGTGAAAAAGTTGTCTGAATTCTGGTATAAATTTTGTTGCTTTTATATTGTCTCTGCATTTTGCCTTTATTTCTCCTATATTTAAGTTCCCTAAATGCAATTTTTCTGAAATGAAACTTTAAACCAAAGTCAATTAATCTCTGAACCTTGTATAATACATTGAAATGGACTGAAATTAAGTTTATTCCTTTAACACATTTTTCCAATTTATTAAAATGTAGGTATATTAGAGCTTCATTTAATATTGAATACTTTAAATGCAACTATTAACACTGAAGTGTTGACAGAGGATAATAATACTTTGAATACTTTAGAGTATTATGTCCAGCATTTATGAGCATCATTCACACGTTACCCTGAGTATTTCACTGTTACTGTAAGTCTTCTCATATTCACTTTACTTAATAGGCACAGAGCAACTTAAGTAGCTCAAGATCTTTAATTAAGAACATAGATTTCAGAATTTCTCCTCCTACCATTAAACTACCATTTTTTGCTCCTGATGTAATAAAGGTATTACACAGAATGTCCCTTCCGCTCATCCCACCAAGCTCTGGACAATAGTCATATGAAGTGCAATCAGAAGTTTGTTGTTAAGCTAACAGCAATTTCAGAAGCAAGAAAACATTCAGGATATGGTAAATACATCATCACAACAAAATCAGAGGACAATCTTTTTACTTGGAAACTTCAGGATGCCTCTTTAATCATCATTCCTAAAATGTGTGGGAAAATACTTCCATAAACTCACCACGACATGCAAATGCGACTTTAGCTGTTGAAGTTATCTGGTTCTGGGATTTCTCTTAAAGCTAACATACTCCGCAGTGTTTGCTTAAAATGCCTCTCTCATATAGAGTAGCATCTCTTGTTCCTAGCAGCAGAATAAGGATGAAAGCTTTACTGATGTGCCACAAACAAGGTGCTATTGTATCTTGATATACTTGGCTAATCCAGGGCCTGAGATCTAGCCTGCCTCAATTCTCCTCCTTGCTCCCCAGTCTGTATTCTCTGCTTTTATTTTGGTGTCATTATTCTGTGAAGTTGCAAGTTCCCTGATAAGTTGGCTCATATGATATATGACACTATATACCGTGCTTTGAATTGATAGAGGGCAGATTTAAATCAGATATAAGGAAGAAATTTATATATATGAGGGTGGTGAGGCCCTGGCACAGGTTGCCCAGAGGAGCTGTGGCTGCCCCATCCCTGGAAGTGTCCAAGGCCAGGTTGGACGGGGCTTGGAGCAACCTGAGATAGTGGAAGGTGTCCCTGCCCATGGCAGGGGGTTGAAACGAGATGGTCTTTAAGGTCCTTTTCAACCCAAAACATTCTGTGCTGAGGGACTGTGCGTTCTTCCTTTGGGAACTAATCTATACTTGACTGCACTTAGGAAGAGGGGATTGATTTCTGCTGTGTAACAGGGCATGTCTGGTTCTGAGAATTAGTCAATACTTAGAAATAGTTAAATCAGTGGCTGAGGAAGTGAATGCTCAGAGTTGGTGGAATGAACCTCATCTGTCAAGGCTGCCTCCCAGCTTTTCCACGTGAAGCTGTTTTTACAGATGTTTGTCATTCATGGGTTGTTCTTGATGATCTCAGAAGTCTTTCCCAACCCAGTTGATTCTATTATTCTGTGATTTGAAGTTGTGGACAAAGGCCCTGAGCAACATCATGTAATGTAAAAGCCAGCCCAGATTTCAGCTGTAGCTTGTACTTAGATGTTTTTTTGAGATCTCTTCAAACACAGAGTATTCTATTATTGTGAGTTTCTCCTGAAATATTTTACAGCATTTACAACAAGATTTATAAAATACAATTAAATATAAAGGAAAGAAAAGGTAAACATACTTCATGTATAATCAACTGCAAGCCTGGAAACAGCAGCACACTGTTCTTGAACAGATAGTGACAGCATGAAAAGTCTTAGCAAAATTTCTAGGACATAAAAATACTAATTTTTTCAGCAAAGTCAGTGTACAGGTATAAATGGAGCAAACATGATATCAAAGAGATACAGTAGGGTACAATATGACTTGACATTTCATAAAAAGTTTATGATTTTTGGGGAAGCTTTAAATAAATATGGTAGACTTTCTTAAACAGTTGAAAGTTCTTTCTTTGACTACGCAGAGTACCTCCACTTGCAAATTCCACTTTGCAAGCAATATGTTCCTGTGTTTAATGGAGTAAGTTGAAAGAGAAAAATGTATTTGGCCAATCACAGAAGTGTTATTCTATTTCTTCCTTTTCTGTAGCTGAATAATTTATAATCACTGAAGATCTCTATTTATACCTCCAGTTTTGTTCTGCGTGATGAAAGAGGCCATCTCAAATTGTAAATGGTTTACAACAGTCCAACAGTTTGGAGGTTGACCATGAATTTTTCAGATTCCTGATCTGAAGTAGCTCTCTTCAAATATGGGTAAAACTGTTAAATGCATATTTCCCACTTTTACTAACATTTGCTTATAAATTACAACTTTTTTGGTGTTTTTCTTTGAGACTGGAAGATTATGTTTGTTTGACCTCTTGAGCTGCTTTTGAGCTCAAAAATTCAGAGCAGTATCAGTGAATGTGAAGGATGTGTTTGAATGTTTTCTTGAAATTCTGGTTACAAAGAGGATACAGG